GCAAAAAACTGAATTTATTGTTAATTTAATTAATTAATTAATTAACTTAAATAATAGCTAGGGACACCCCTAGTGGCCATTCTAGGCATACCATTACAGATTTACAGATACGCGATCAATGGCTTATGTTGTTAGATAATAAAAATACATATATACACAGTCTTGCATTTTTATTAGTCATGTTTTTTCCATTTGTGGGGGTTAAAGAATCTGTCTAATGTCGATTGCTTTTCTCTCTTCTTCAGAATTTTTCAGAAGTAATTAATAGCATTGTACTTGTAGAGATCCCTAAGCCTATTAACCTCAACCTGGTTTGGATGCCATTCTAAGACCGTTGTTCTGACATTTTCCCACTTCTTCAAAACATCTTTAATAGCAGATATCTGCGTTAATCCTCTTTTAGAAGAAAACATATCTCACTGAGTTTATTGGTGTTCTTCATTCAAGAGTTCCTGGCATTCTTCTGTCATCAGATCAGTTTCAGGTTCCATTATGAGCTCTTCAATGTTCTTTATTTTTCAGATGTGATTTTTGTTACTCCTTCAGCTGCTTGAGTCTTTTTGATTATATAGTGTTTATCTTAGATAAGATTGAACTGTGGCCTACTGTAGATCTGTTTAAGTCATACTGCCTAGCAACATCAGACATCTGCCCACTCTCTGTCTTTGGTATTATACTCTCACCTTTCGAAAATAAAAACCCACGCAAAACGTAATGATTGCCCGCCCGACAGTCTTGCGAATACCATAAAAGAATTGTTTGTCAGAAAAATAAAAGGCTGGAATTACAAGGGAGAGTTTCAAAGTTTGGAGGAATACTATCCGATCAGTATATACCGGGTTGAGCGTTGAATGCAAGATCTCCCACGCTCTGAAAAGTTTCAAATTGTTGCCCGAAGACAAGGGAAGCCCAATTGGTATTCATTATTTTACGTCGCTTCTTCTTGTGTTTGTTCTGTGAGGTTTTCGTTGTCCGAGGATAAAAATCTTTTGCGAAAGTGTTCATTAACCAATCACCCACTGTATTTATTTTCATGTTTATGCACTCTGAGGAGAATCGAGAAAATTACAAAAATGATACAGATGCTGACATGACAGGGCAGTCCCAATAAACATTTTGCCTGTTTATAAATGTATAATATTATACTAGAAAGATGAAACTAAGTGGCATTTGTACTTCAATTTATTGACACACGTGGAAATATATTTTAGACATTAAAATTCTCGGAAACAGATTTCCTGAGTAAATAATACAAAACTTTACCTTGGATTGCAGCCTATCTCTCAGGAATTTCCGACCACATTAAACAAAATATATATATTTTTTTAATATATTTTGTTTTAATTGTATAATTTTAAATTTGCATCATGCTTTATACATCTGTGAAGAAAATTATTTTAAAATGTTTTTGTAATTTGGCAAGTTGTCAACTCAAATCCAGAGTGTTTAAATTCATGTTAAGTCTTTGACAGAGTTGCTATGTTTAACACTTTGAGTCTGGCTGGCTTAAGTTGGTTAGAGGTTGGTTGAAAAAGTAAATATGAAGTGTAGATAGCATTGCAAAAATAATGATAAATATGAGATAACCATTTGATTTTTTGGAAAAAGAACCTAGTGCGATTAGTATCGTTGCTTCAGTATTAAAACCACTTAAAAGTAGAGATGCCACTCTTCTCTCTATGGAAGGAATATCCACTCTTATTCTAGAAGAGTTATCTTCTAAAAATACTTAATTTCTGCTTCTTTTTAGATAATTCATGAAAAAAGAATTGGGCAGTTGAGAACTACAAGATCGTTTGACTTGAGGAAATACTTGAATGACCCTAATTCAATTTCAGAAAAGTTTGTTCTATTTCTAACTTTTCTTCCATCAAAAAAGTTCAATGCATTCAGCTACAGAGAAATTTTATCTTTTTGTCTGTTCCATTTCCCACTCCTGGTCTTTGTTTGGAATTTTCGGCAGGAATCGACATTTCCGACACGTCAAAAGAAACATCTCTTCAAGAGAGTAAATGCTACCATAAATATAATGTGTAAGTTAAAAAGAGCAGTCACACTTTGTTGATCAAAATTATGTTGTACAATCTTCTGTTTAAAAAAAATAGTTACATGAAAACGTATACTTATAATTTTTTAACTAAACAATAACAGACTAGTGGCCAGATTTTCATAGACTTTTTTTTGTTCTGTGTTAAATAACTGCAATATCCAGTCAGACAATAAATAATTACAAAAAATTATTATATAATCTTTATTTTTATCAAGATATTTGAATTTAAATAAAACTTTTTTCAGTTATAACAAAATAAATCTATATATTTGAACACGACTGTTTTTTTTTTTTTTAACTCTATTCCATGGGAACTAAAAGGGCCTTTTTTGGATCCATTGTGGAGGTTTGCCGGGTCCCAATGAGGCAGACAAGTGGCAACGAAAGACACCCGACATTTACCAAATATAAATTTCCAGGTTCGGAGCAGTTGACACCTCAGTCGTCTCGGCTATTCGGCCACGAAAGATTTGAAAAATATTTCTTAGCCTATGCGAACAGTTTAACCAACATAAAGTAGTTATTATCATACTGTCAAATTTCAAGTATTTCTGAAATTTTGTTCAAGGTCGAACCTACATTATTCATGTTATTTTTTCAATTTAGCCTATTTTGTTGAACTGTTATCAGAAGGGAGAATTCAAAGGACGGCAATCAATTACGGTATTAGTTTTGCAGGCAAATTAAATAAAAGGTTATTATTTCATTCATCTGTTTTCCAAAGAAAATCCTTCCGCACTGTTTAATATCAAAAACTCATAAAAGTTCGTACAGCAGAATGCCATTAGTTTAGTTATTATATGAATGTTTTTAAGATTTGAATTTTAAATATGTGTTTAAAGTTAATAGAACATATAAAAATTGCTGTTTTTATACTTTTTAAAATTTAGGAAGAAGTTGTTTTGCAATGAGATAGTAGTTGGACTCAAATTTTATTTTAATAAAACTGGAAATGAAGAAATAAAAAATATCTCGGAAATGGTAAGAAATTTCGATATTATTTTTAGAATTTATTATTATTTATACAAACGAGTATTTGTGAAGACAAATAATTGTCTGGTGATGATGGCAATGTCACTATTTAATCAGAAGTTTAACATAGAACCTATGGTTTAGTGTTTTCCAAATGGTGTTTGTAGTCGTATGTTCTGCTAGAGATTCAATCAAAATCTCTACAGTCTTATGTTGAAAATCCCAACAAGTCAGAAGCTAGATATTCTTGTTGTTTCTACGTATTCTTGATCCGGTGAAAGTTTCAAAAAGAAATTTTTATGATTAAACTTTTTTTGATCTCGGGGAACTTATATATTGGTTATTTTATGTGGATCTGGCTCAGATACGTTAATCCCATCTGCCCATACGAACACGACCTAGTCAAACCCTTAGCAGACACACCCGCTTAACATCTTTGCATTTATATTTATGGCCCACCTAATATGTTTTCACTTCTAGTCAAGTTCTAATATGCAGCTGTAAGTGATTTCCTAGTCTTACTAATGAATTCCAGTTGGGTAACAACAGTCTTTTTAAATTCTCTTCCAAAGCAAGAAATTTTTGTCCAGATTTAAATGCTTCGTCTGTACAAAGTGATAAATTAGTCCCAATTCCTCTAAGCATTTTGTCTATTACTATTATATCTATACAGAACTTTGTTACTTATAATCCATCTTACTATACTTATAATCATTAAGTTTCTTGATATATTTGACACGTAGTCTTATTTGTAGTGACTTCCAAATTTTATTTATATTCTAGTCTTTCTAAGAATTCAAACTTGTCAATGGCATAAAGTCCAATTTCTTAAACAGCTTAATCTAGCTTTTATGCATCCTAATTTTTAAAAAAATATTTCCTCTTTACATTTATTAGAATTTTTAAACTAGCGAACATAAAAAAAGATTCTCTTAGCAAGTCAATTAAACTTCAATAATGTATCTTGAATATCTCTAGTGCAGGGGTCTCAAACTCAAATGCAACAACAAAAGTCCAGTCGAATATTCGCAGGTGTATATCAGACGCGGGCCACATTCTATATTATCCAACAAACCAAAACATATTGTAATTTTAAAAAAGACTCTAACAAAAGCCCTTTTGTTGCTGGCTCTTTAGGAGTTATGTAAACAGTTAGACGTTTGAATTTTTTCTGTCTTAATCTCCGTAAAGTGTTAGAAACGTTGATTTTTAAACGAGATGCCAGTTTGTCACCCCTGCTCTAGAGCGTATGCTGAAATTTCTGATTTTTTTTTGTTTGTTTTAATGAGAAAATCTTTATTTGTAACTATTTCAATTAATTTTAGCTTTCTTGTCTTACAGTATGTCTAATGAAAAGGTTTGTTTGTTGTTACAAAAACTTTTTATTAAATAAATATAAAATATTTTGGTTTCTTTTTTGGAACCGAAACTTATTTAATACTAAAACTTTGTAATTAAACTTTTTACTGTTGTTTCGGTACTAAATTCCATAATAGAACAGTAAGGGATGGTAAATTTATCTGGTGTTTGATATTTTTTGTGTTCTTTATCTTGCTGATATTTTAATAACTTTTTTTGTATGGAATTCTGCTAAAACAATTGCTAATTACAACATAAATCCTCCAGGATATAACATAACTAAGGTCAGAACATCTAGGCACTAAAAATCACATAAATCATTCTAAAAATTATAATTTTTAGTGCCTAAACGTTCTAGCTCTAATTATAACAAATGAACTATAAATTAATAACAAGAAGAATTATAAAAACAAGAGTTTGTTGTTTGAGATAGAACTGTAGCAGAGTTGTACACACACACCTCAAATTATTTGCTAAAAATAAACTAAAAAAGAATAATTATACAATTATTTGGTGACACCTGTTTGATAACCAAACACCTATAGTATTTGGTTGTTGGTAAGACAATCTTACCAACGATCAATCTTTAACCCGGACGTGCACTTTTGGCTCACCCTCTTTGTCCCTTGTTTTATTAATTTAGTTTAAAGAGGAGCGGATAGTAAGCTTTTATCCCAAATGAAACAGGCATCCATCATCGAGTGTGGCTTCCCCTAAAGAAAGGACTTACAAATAGGCTCAAAAACATAGGGAAAATGGGAGAAGCCAGTGAAGAGTAAATAATCAACGTATGCATTATTTGTCCTTATTATCTTTTGCCATCCAGGGTTAACCTAACCATTGGCCATCTTCAAATCTGCACATTCCACACAAGGCAAGACTAAAGTTAACAAAATTGATTTATAAATAAATTGATATATTAGATTATGGAAGGTAATTATCTTCTCTAAAAGAGTAAATACAGTATTCAATAATACCGAACAGATTCCTATTGTGTAAACGGCTTTGCACGGCTCCGCTTAAAGTGCAATTTTCTCGGAGCCAATTACTGTCGTAAATGGTGGGATTAATTAATGTATTTTAATTACCATTGCCCATCATATCATAAAAATAAGTTATTTTTCTTGTAGATTCGTAAACTTTAAATCGCATAAGTAAAGATATTTCGTTGTTAATTGATTAATTAATTAATTTTTTGGTAGCGACAGATTGCCAAATACACTCGCGATCTAAACAAGGTGCGGATTTGTGAATATCTTCGAATCTATTTTAAACATTTAGGCCTATGTAACAATTACCAATTGAAAATGTTTTTTTTTTTTTTTTTTTATAGTTGCTGCCGGTGAATAAACATTTCGGTGTCCTGTCGGAAAAGAAAATCGTTTACTTCATAGTTTCGAAGCATTCTCGCCAGGTAAGAATTGTTTCGATTGTAGTTTTTCCACAGTTTCCAGTATACGTGGGCCAGATACGGGCTGTTCGAAAAGTCTCTCTGAGGCGGCCGTTTCTTTTAGTTGGTTAATTGGTTTCTAGCAATACTCGCGTGACGGGTGACATGGTGTTTTACTGGCTAATTCTACTGCCGTTATAGGCGGATTAGGTAGTTTGCGTATACACAGTGTTTTTGTTCTGTATAATCTATAATTCCCGATGCGGAGAGACTTTTTGTACATCCCGTATATATATATATACACACACACATATATATATATGGTTAAACGGGTGTCAATTAATCAAGACGATACCGTGTATATAATATATATACAGTATAGGCCTATACAATAGCATCTCGATTAATGGAGACTCGTTTAACCAAGGAGGCAATTGTATGTAGACGATTACTTAGAACAAAGACGAGAGAACATAATACAGTACATTTCTGTGTATATATTGTTTACTTGGACCTTGTTTATTAATAGGACTTCTTATACTGGTGTAGTATCTGATTAGCAAAGAGACTTCTTAGTCAAAAGACAAAACAAATTATTTTCTGGTCTAAGATCTTTCTTTGCTAATCAGAAACTTCGTCTATATAGTAAGTCCTATTAATAAACTAGATTCAAGTAGACAATATATACACAGAAATGTAAAACAATAAGGACAAAGAGGCAAAAAGGGATTAATAATGCGGTACAGTTTGTTTCGCGAATCTGGGTTGTGCAATACATAGGAGGGAATTTCTGCGAACTTCTTGCCACAATACAGATTTTTATGAAAATTAGAGAAATTGTAATTGTAGTTGTGGTAAAACTTTGTTTTTTTAACAACATTCTCGTATTTTGTTCGTGGCTGAGTTCCGTTTCTAGGAGTAAATCGTCGGGGACTTAACGTTACGTTAATAAACGAAGGGCCAGCCGAAAAAAATAGCATAGACCCTGTGTTAGTAGCACACCTTGACTCTACCGTTTTAATTTTTCCTGGTTTACCAGATGAGTGCGGATTATTATTATTAATTTAATCCGTTGAAAAATCGGTTTATACTCGTATTAGATAATCCGGGAACGAGGGCCAAAAGCGCAATAAAAAAAATTAAGATGCGTAAACGCCACACAAAGGAAACCAACACCGCCGTATTTTTCTTTTCCTGTTCAGGTGTTAAAAAGCCAACAGTGGTGTAAATTTACTTGACGAAAGCAAAAGTATATATTATATAATACTGCATACGGACACTCCTTCACCAAGCCAGTGTCTAGAATATTTTTAAGGGGTTAGCCTACTTGGTATTTTTCTAGTAGCTACCACACCACCGTCACTTGGTTTCAAACATTCCGCCTTATTTCACTTTTCGATTATCCAAATCCACATTAATTGACACTTTACTATCTGTAACACGTACGTACAGTATAGTATATGTATATATCACACGTAATTGTTCTCCTCTTTAATTCTGACCACACGAGTATTGTTTTTTTTAAATAATTTCAGGTGTACCCGGAAAGAAGAAGGTTGCATGATGTGGGCAGTTGGAGAACGCTGGAATGCAGCCCTTCCAACATCCTTAAGAAACCGACCCTTAAAAGGGGAGAAGCCCGGAATGTGGAAAGAACCTTTATCCATAAATTACATTTTTGAATCTATTGTTAACGTCGGGGGAGAATTATTTTTAGTGCAGTGTTAAAAATGTTTTTAAAGAACTTTTTCATCGATTTCGACGTGTTTAGACAATCGGAAAGTGTGCCTTTTTAGAAATTGTAACGGTTTTTAATAGAAAAAATCCGGTGTTTTTCCTCTGTGGTTTCTTGTGTACTCTTCTGTCCACACGCGAAATATACTGTGAATAAAACTGGTTTATTTTGACTCTAGATCGTCTTATTTAAAACACGCCGCGTCGCACTGTTAGTAGTAATTTGCACGTTTTATTTCGGTTGTATTTAAAATTTTAAATAACGGCGCGGAATTCGAATTGCCGTTTTACCACTCGGAACGAAGCTCCGCCCGTTTCCGAAAACGTAAAACACGTGGCCGAAGTAAAAAGTGTCGGGGGAAGAATTTGCGCGCGGTGTGTGAACGGTACTACAGTAGTGTTTTCGGTGCGTTCGATTATTGTCCACTAGAACTTAACTGTAAAGGGAGCAAAACCCCTCCGAAATCTGTATCGTTCGAAAATAACCCGTCGTTTCCAGATCGTAGAGTTGTCAGGCCTTTCTCTTTGGCAGAATAGGGTTTTGAGGCTCTGGGATTAAGAGGCGTTTATTTCCCCTTCCCTGTTGCATTCGGATTTACTTAAGAATCGAGTTTAAATTAGCCGTAGGGGCGTTATCTAAATCTCCCCTACGATTTCAATCTTGAGCAAAACTTACCAATTTATTGTATTTTGTATAGATTGGTGTATTATCTACAGCGTGTGATTCCAACACCAGTTTATTATTACTCGATATAACGAAGTAGAAATGCTTATAACTCGATATAACGAATTTAAGACTCGTCGCCAAAGATATTTTGCAAGAAATTCAATATGGACATGATTTTAAATGACGTAACAGTAGACTAACAATGGGAACGTTTATTTGGGGGTTATTTCGAATGCACCCCCCAGATTATAGAAGCGATGGTGACGACGTTTTTTCTGTCAGTTGCTGGTTCATTTCCTAAAACAAATCTGTCCTTTTTTATTTATAAATGTCGAATTTTCTCGTTCGAGAGGTTAAAGGTCACTCGCACTTGTCCTTTCTAAGCAAGAATATTAGCGTTCTTTACCGATAACAGCGATAAAAATGAATATTTTGTTTCGGATTCTGCGTTTGAACGAAAATAATTTTTAAATAAATTTAAATATTTCAAAGAAGAAAATATTAGATCAAAATCGGACGCCATTTTCTTCGATACGAAACTGAAGTAGTCGATGGATGGATCTAGATAGTGTCGCCATCTATTAATAAATTTAATAATTATTATTTAATTTAAATTATTTTTAATAATAATTTCGTAACTTTTTTAATCGGCCAATAATAATTTAAGAAAATTAATTTGGTCGTTAATATATAAAGACGTGATTAATTAAATG